CAGTGTAAACATAATTTTGACTAATCCTCTCAGTGTTAACATAATTTTGACTAATCCTCTCCTACCAGTTTTAACATAATTTTGACTAATCCCCTCAGACTAGTGTTAACATAATTTTGACTAATCCTCTCATACCATTGTTAAAATAATTTTGACTAATCCTCCTCATACTAACATACTTTTTGTAATAAAATAATTTTAACATAATTTTGACTAATCCTCTCCTACTAGTGTTAACATAATTTTTGACTAATCCTCTCCTACCAGTTTTAAATTTTGATAATCCGCTCATACTATTTTGAATAATTTTGACCTCTTCTCCCACTAGTGTTAACATAATTTCAACTAATCCTCTCATACCAGTTTTAACATAATTTGACTAATCCTCTCCTAATTTTAACTAATCCGCTTATGCTAGTGTTAACATAATTTTGCCTAATCCTCTCCTACCAGTGTTAACATAATTTTGACTAATCCTCTCATACTAGTGTTAACATAATTTTGACTAATCCTCTCCCACCAGTGTTAACATAATTTTGAGTAATCCTCTCATACTCGTGTTAGCATAATTTTGACTAATCCTCTCCTACCAGTGTTAACATAATTTTGAATCATCCTCTCATACTAGTGTTAAAATAATTTTGACTAATCCACTCCGACTAGTGTTAACATAATTTTGATTAATTCTCTCCTACCAGTGTTAACATAATTTTGACTAATCCTCTCATGCTAGTGTTAGCATAATTTGAACTAATCCTCTCATACTAGTGTTTGCATAATTTTGACTAATCCTCTCATACTAGTGTTAACATAATTTTGATTAATCCTCTCCTACCAGTGTTAACATAATTTTGACGAATCCCCTCAGACTAGTGTTAGCATAATTTTGATTAATGCTCTCCGACCAGTGTTAACATAATTTTGACTAATCCTCTCCTACCAGTGTTAACACAACTGCAACTAACCCTGTTGATTTATCCTTTTGTTTCCATTTAATCTAAAATTTCGTCTTTATTCACATGTTCAGCTTTTGGTATTCTCAGCATCCTTTTGGAAAACCGCAATTATGAAAAGTTTGTTTAGCATTCACTAACATATATGAGGACTGATACTATATAATTATTCAGTACTTAGTTCGTTGGTTGTTTTTAGCGGCATATCAACACCTCTATGGGTTAGTTATTGCCGAAATCTAAATATTTTGAACACAATTTTATGACTTGAACTATACATATTTTGAACGCAATTGTATTTCTTCAACTACAGATAAATCATTTTGGTCATTTTGCTATAAAAAGAATTTTTGGTAATTATACTATAAAATGTGTTGCGGGTCATTTTGCTTTAAAATTTATAGTAGATCATTTTATTATAAATATGGATCGTTGGTCATATTTTTATATAAAAATGTATTGTTGGTATTTTTATTATAAATATATTTTTTTATACTTTCATAGTGTTTTTTTTTTTTAGCTAGGTTCACTATTTATCCATAGCAGGGAGCCTAGCAGATGCTACCATCCCGAGTAAACTTGGGAACAACAGTAGTTCACAGGTGAATCCACGATCCTCAAGATCTTACGATCAAAGACCTTGCTGCCAATTGTAGTTTATCGTCATATCCAGGACTACTTTTCAGCACTGTTTTCTTTGTTTCTAACAAAGTTATTTTCTTTCTTTATACTTTGGTAAGCTTTTTCAAGGTATATTTCGCTATATCAATGCGCCTGTTTTATTTGTCAAGTATTACGTTATCTAAATAATTAGAGTAGTGTTAACAATTGGACAGTTATAAATAGATAAATTTTATAATATAAGCCTGTAATAAAAAATACATATTTGAATATTTATCTGGATTATAATTTGTGGAATGTTTGGAGTTTTCTTCATATTAATTGTGAAGGTCTTAAAAGGAAAATTCTGATTTTTGTAAGAAAAATAGACGATTTAATTAGATACAGAAATTTACATTTAATAAAATATATCGAAATATAAAAAAATGTATGTATTTGCTATGGAAAGATTATAAATAAAATTTTCAGATTAAAATCCTAATGATTATGATATGCTTGGCAAATTTGAAAGGTCATGTTCGCAACTGCGACTTTTATTTGAAGAACTAAAGGAAATCAAGTGGAAAAACACTTTAAAAATATCAGATTAATAAACATTAATTTATAGCATTTTTATTGTATCTTCTTATATGTATCTATATTTTAATTAAAAAGTGCGAAAATTAGAAATTAACTGTGAATCAAACTAAAATTTGAGGTACAAATTACATCATTTCCTATGAGTATATATTCGATTAATGCGTTTTCGATTAGTGTATTTCTTTTAATGTACAAATCAGCCATATTGATCGAGGGATTCCTGTATATAAAAACTTAGTCATGAATTTCTTTTTTCATTATAAATGTCATCAATACTCATTGATTTATTTTTATCTGTAAAACCGTATGAAAAAAAGGATATTAGTTGAGCATTATACTGATAGTGA